GTGCTGGGATTAAAGGCATGTGATACCACCATCCTGTTCCTCCTCCTCTTCTTATATTTTTGGTTGTGAGTCTAGCCTTTAATGGCTGAGCTATCTCTCCAGCCCTTCTTCTTAAGATAAGGTCTCACTGTGTCTCTCCTGGGTTTGCTATGCAGACCAGACTGGCTCCGAACTCCACCTGCCTCTGTTTCCTGAGTGTTGGGATTCAGGGAGTGTGCCACCGTACCCAGTTGTTTTACTCTTCTTCTTTGCAGTGCTAGGCCCGTGGTCTTTTCCTGCTCCGATAGCCTATGGCAGCTGTTGTTACAGCCTTACAAGATGGCAAGCAGTTGACTTTGAACAGCATCGAGGGTTCTGGACCCTTCCCATAGGAATTTACTTCCTCCCTTCTCAATAGTGTAACACCAGCCCAATCCCTGACCACTCTGTGCTGTTACTTCTTTTGCAAATTGTGCATAAAAATGCCTGTCCTAGGAGCGCAGTTAGTTTTAAAACTACATCTATTTATTTATTTATTTATTTTTAATTTTTGAGACAGGGTTTCTCTGTGTAGCAGTCCTGGATATTCTGGAGCTCGCTTTGTAGACTAGCCTGGCCTTGAACTCAAAGAGATCACCTGCCTCTGCCTCCCAAGTGCTTGGATTAAAGCTGCGCACCACCACTACTTGACTTATTTATTTGTGTAATAATGTCTGTGCATGTACACGCGCGTGTATGTGCCTCTGTGATGTGTGCGGACCACTTGTAGGAATTAGTTCTTTCCTTTTACTATGTGGACCTAGCTCAGGCCCTTATACTTGGCAGCAGGCTCTTGCCCTCTGAACCATCTTGCTTGCCCTCAGAGGTGGTTTTCATGACTCAATAATTTAATTTCTCCAGCATGCTGTTTTGCTTGTTAAAAGACGCAGTTTGTAGCCCTTGAACTTGTGACAATCTTCTTGCCTCAGGCTTTCAAAGGCTGGACTCCAGGCTTGTACCACCACACCTGGCTTCTCCAATGTGTGTTGCAAAGATCCAGTCCCTCTCCCCCGAGTGTGTGTTGCATGGGAACACACAGTCCATATCACATATGAAAGAGGTCAGAGGTAGGCTTTCAAAAGTCAGTTCCCTCTTTCCATTATGTGGGTCCCAGGGATCAAACTCAAATCATCAGGATCAGCAGTTAGCACTTTACCCACTAAGTCATCTCACCAGCCCTCGGTGGATATAGGCTTAAAATAACATCTGCAAATTATTCCTTGAGTGGCTTTGGATATATCACAGTGCAAAGCCTCAGTTTTTTTCCTTCCTTCCTTCCTTCCTTCCTTTTTCTTTTTTTTTTTTGGTTGATTTTTTGGGGTTTCTCTGTAGCTTTGGAGCTTTCCTGGGAACTAGCTCTTATAGACCAGGTTGACCTCAAACTCACAGAGATCATCCTATCTCTGCCTCCAGGGTGCTGGGATTAAAGGCGTGTGCCACCACCACCCAGCAGAACCTCAATTTTCTTATCTGTGAAGTTGGCATCTGAGTGGCAGGAAGATGTTCATTTGGTAGACTGCACAAGGCTTGAGTTTGATCCTCAGCATCTTTTTAAAAAGCCAGCAGTAGTGGCTGCTCATGCCAGCACCATGGAAGCAGAGAAAAGCGGGTCCCAGGGACTTGTCCATCAAACAGAGCTGATTCAGTGAGCCCCAGGTCCAAGTGAGAGACTTTGTCTCAAAATCCAAGGTGGACCTTTGACCACACAGTGCATACACATATATGTAAACCTGTACACATACATGAACCTGCACACATATGAATACCCCTCACCCCACTACCACATACACATATAAAAGATGGCATCTGGGGCCCATTGTCAGAGAGAGCTGCGATTCCGGCTGGACAGGATGGAAATGAAACACGTGGCCCAGGCTGCTGGTACTTGGTTCCTTCCTCACAGGTTCATTCCTTCTGCCTTGCCTTTCAGAAAAGAATCCCCTTGAAGGGAAGCTTTGTGACCTACTCAGGGTTGAATCCTCAATCCTTCTGGCCTTGGCACATAGTAGATGTTCAATATAGTATCTCACTGGACAAGTAAGTCAGTACCAACAGAGACCATGCTCAGCCCATCCTGGTGCCGGAAACCAGATTTGTGTGACATCTACCCGCCAGTGTGAGTGACCGTTTGTGCACAGAACAGCTTTGTAGAAAAGCTGCTGGGCTGTGGTTTCAGCCCAGCTGAGAAAGACGCTCTGGTGCATAACCGTCTGTGACAGTTGGCTGGGCTGGGAGATGCTAGGTAGCGGGAAGACACCATCCCTGAGACATCTGGGAGGCCATCGCCAGGAGGGAAGGTATGAACACATGGACTGAGAGACGGTCTACCCTCAGCTACACAGGGGCTATCACTAACCCACGCTGGGCTTCCACAGAGCTAGAGGGCCAGATAAATACCAAGGGAAGTTCTGAGGATGAGCTGAGATATCCATTTTCTGCTCTGGGACGTTGGGGCTTTCAGTTCCGGGGTCTTCAGGCTCAGATGAAGGCCTACCTATACGATTGTCCCCCCTTTCCGGGGCTCAGTGCTTATGGCTTGGACTGGAGTTGTAGCATGGTTTGCAATCATTAGCGATGGACTCCAGCCTCCACACTCACGTGAGTCAACCTCTCAGCATAAAGCTGTCTCCCTCTTGGTTCTGGCTTCCTGGAGAACTTTGACTAAGACAAAGACTTATTCACTTATCTCAGATCTCTCCAAGTCTTTTGTGAAATGACGCTATTAATAACACTCACTGTCTAAGATTGTTCTGAAGAGTAAATGAAGAAGTTCCTAGAAAATGTGCACCTGTGTCCCTCCTTGGGCCTCATGTTCCTCGTCTGTAAATGGGTATTTATTTACTCATCCACCGACTCACTCAGCAGACACGGTGTTCAAGGGCACGCACGGCATCGGGTTGAGAGTCAGGGAAGCCACCGAGGCATGCAGGTTCCAGTTCTTTAGTGAGGGTCTTTGTAGATGCTGGACTACAGAACATTGTGAGAGATATGGCTGCTGGGAGAAGAGCCGCAATATGTGTGGGTGTCCAGGGGCCAGAGGTATGGATGGTGCCTCGGAGAGCTGACTAGCAGGAGTGTAACGGTTATGGGACCACAAGCTTGTGTGTGTTTGAATCGCCCACATTCCAGCAGTCTGCAATGGACTAGCCCTCTGTGGGTTCTGTACCTTACTTAAGTGCCTCTGTGGCCCTACTTAGCCCCTGGCTCACAGAACACGGCCAGGGCCTTTTTGGGAAGTCCTCTCACAGTGAGCACCCTGTTCAGACATCTTGCTCTCCATCTCCTTCAGTGAACCCCCGTCACCACCACGTACATGCGCAGTGCAGACTGATGTTAGAGAAGCAGAAACTAAGGGCCCCTGTCTTATTCCCCAAATACATGCCAGCAGTTTCCTGTGGGATCCAGTAAGAAGTTAGGGCAAGGGAGATGTGGGGGAAGCCAGGTAGGCCTCGGAGCTCCGAGGATCACATGCTTACTTATCTCAGTGACGCGCCAACTCCTGGGAACTGACTCCTGCCAGCCGAACTCGCAAGAGACTGAAGCATTTGAAGCAGAAATTTACATTTAAGCTAGGTGTATTGCAAAGGATTATTCATCTTCAGCAGCCAGAGTATTTGCACCTGTTACCCACAGCAGTCTTTTCTCTTCTGTTCTCAGCAGAGAGAAATTTATATGCCAGGGGTATTTAAATATCAGGCGTGGGCGTGTCGGCAATGGCCTGGCCAGGGTTAGAAGTCTCAGTGGCCCATCTGCAGTAGGCCTCAGTGGAAAACCAAGCTTTATGAGGTGAGAGCCTGCCTGGGCCGCCTCCCTGCAGTATTTTCTGTCTTGTCAATGCCGCGTTTTGTTTTAAATTGCAGCTGAAACAGATATTTTCCCCTTCGCCTATTACACCTCTTAAATTGTCTCTCCCTCTGCTGTTGTCTCTAGAAAGTGTTTTTGCCTGAAACCCACACAGCAGTGCTGTTTTGCCCACGGTGAGGTTTAACAGCAAAGGAAGGTGCAGACTAACTCCACGGATGACAGTGCTTTGAGTCTGGGTCACACGTGTCTTACAACACATGCCTGTGTATGCGAGGGCTTGTGGAGGTGTCTATGGCTACGCCTGTGCACGTCAATGTTTGCTAATAGAGACGTGTCTAGGTACACTTCGGTATAATTGCTCGGGTGTCCGTGCTGAAATTAAGTGTATGTTTGCATGCAAGCACACACCCACCCGGCAGCCTCTGTATGCATAAAAATGCAAATGTGCACCTACATGTATGTCATATGTAAGACCCATGCCTATGTCCAGTATCCCGCGTCTCTCTGTTCCTCTCTCTCTCTTCTTGCTTCTCAGGTTAGCATCTCCAGCTAACCCCACCCAAGAGCCTTGGCTACGTTTTTGGTGGCGGTTTGTAAGGACCACTGAAAATACTGATTTAGCCAGAACTAACCACGGCTACAGCTCTCCGGTTTGGTCCAGCCATCCCCATCCCCCAGCGCGAATCAGCGGTACCACCGCGGCTGGTCTGAGTTCTGAGCATCCCCGGCCGGTGCTGAGAAGTGGCAGGGTCGCCTATGAATGGGCAAAGCCTTCCAGACCAACCTGGTCTCCTGGCCCTTCCGGGGGAGACCGAAACACAGCGGCTCAAGGAAGAGGTGGGCGGTAGAGGGGGCGTCTCGGTCGTTTGGAGTCCAGCGAATGCTGGGCAGAAACCAATGGGTGACTGTGGCCCAACGGGGATCCCTCGGAAGCAGCCAATGACCTCGCTTTGCTCTGCACCCCGCCCTTGCCACAGCGCGCAGCTGGACCATTGGAGCCACAGGATGGGGGAGCGCAGCGCCAGTACTGGGGAAAGGGGCGTGGCCCAGACTAGACCCGCCCATTCCTCCCGACTAGGCTCCTCATTGGCCAGACTGCGGCGCCGCGGAGGGCGGGGAGGCGGGGCGCGGGGCGCGCATGTGGGCGTGGCCTGAGGGCGTGGCCGGCGGGGGGCGGGGCGGCGGCGCTGTCGCAGTGAGAGCTGGAGCGGCGGCGGCCCGTCTGGAGCTGCGGCGGGGGAGGCTGCGCGGCGAGTGGAGCCGCGGGGCCGGGAACAGGTGATCGCAGCGGGAGACCCGCGCCCTCACGAGTTGCGGATCCCGAGCCCGCGCTCTTGGGCGCAGCGGCAGCCGCCCAGTCCCGGGCTGATCGAGGCCAGCTGCAGGCTTCGCACGCGCTTCCCGGGCATCCCTCTGCTTGCGCGAGTGTCAGAAGCCCCCGGGTCCCGCGAAGCCTCAGGAGCCGCAGCTGCGCGCGGCACAGCAAAGTTGTGGACGTGCGGGGACCACCGGGCCCCGCGCTGTCACCACCAGCCGGGCGCGCGCTCTAGGAGCGGTGTTTGCGCTGCAGCCCCGGGGGCTCCCGTTGCAAACTGCTCCAGAGGCTGAAACTTCGGGTGTGGGAGGGTTGGGGCCTGCGTGCGCCCCTGCGCACCCTGCTAGGGCGTCGCGGACGGCATGTGACGGCTCCGGCGCGGGAGGGCTCGGGTTCCGCGGACCAGGCAGAGGGCAGGCTGCTGCGCACGGCGGGCCCGGGCTCCAGCCGAGCAGCCCCCCTCGCCCGGGCCCCGCCGAGGCCGCCGCACTCCCGCCCTCGCGCGGGAGGACTCGCTCCAAACTCCCTGAACTTCGGGCAGGTCCCAGAGCGGCGGCGGCCTCGGGGTGCGCAGTCCTGCCTGGTGACACCAGCCCCTGCTGCGCTCTTGCTCCCCACCCTCGGGGACTCCGGGAGCCCCGGCGGAGCTGACAGCCCCCTGCTGCTGGCCGCGCCGCTATGATCGTGAGGAAAGTGCCGGGCTTCGTCCCGGCCTCGTCGTGGGGGCTGCGGCTGCCGCAGAAGTTCCTTTTCCTGCTCTTCCTCTCGGGCCTCGTCACCCTGTGCTTCGGCGCCCTGTTCCTGCTGCCCCACTCCTCTCGCCTCAAGCGTCTCTTCTCGACCTCGCGGACCCAGCAGCCCGGCCTGGAGGTGATGGCCGAAATCACTGACCACCACCCGGTGCCCGAGCAAGAGCCGCCTCCCAACCCTGTCCCCGCGGCTCCGGCCCCGGGCGAGGACAATCCTGGCCGCAGAGTTGGTATCCTCCGTAGGAAAGGCTGGCTGCGGCGCACCCGCCTCACCGGACCCCGGGAGGAGGAAGGGAGCGTCCGGTTCAGTTTCGACTACAATGCTTTCCGTAGCCTCCTTCGACACCCGGTCTTGGGGACAAGGACTGATGAGAGTAAGGAGTCCCAGAGTCTAGTGCGAGCTCAGCGGGAGAAAATCAAAGAGGTAAGCGCCCCCTCCCCCCCCCCCCCACCCCAACACACCCTCTGCCAAGACTTCCCGCTACCAGCGGTTCCCCTTTCTTGACCCCTCCTGGCTCCTGCTCTGCCTGAGACCTTTCAGGCACACTGCAGCACCGCCGCTCTCTCCAAAGTTACTCACTCTTCGGTGCATACTTTAGGGTAACTAGGACTTTAGCTTATGGCCCCTACCTAACCTCCAGGCCGATCCCCAGCCCTGGTGGGCTCCGCGCTTTCCCCTGCTGGCCTGCCACTGCGGAGAGGACTCTAGGTCCTTAGTTTGCCTTTGTGCAGGAGAGAGCCACTAGAAATATTCTTGCTCACTTGTGTGTCTTTAAGTCTTGACTTTCCCTAAGCCCCAACAGGATATGGTATTTGGTGTTCTGTTTTGTAATCTCTCAGCATCTTGCCAACCAGAGATGTCTAGCATTCCTGCTAACTGCTTCTATTGAGCCTTGCAACAATTGTACATAATTGCATGTGAGAAGGGAAAGCATGATCAATAAAGCAGTGGTAATGTTACAGAACTCTGGGGTTATTGACTTAATGAGGTGGGTCTTGGACCGGTACCCTGTAAGGACTGGACCACAGAGCGATTTAGAAGAATCACTTTGAGTCAGAGTCTTAGTTTAAGACATCAAAAACGAACACAGCCTAGACATGGCTTGCAGACAGCTTCCCAGATGCCATTGGTACCTGAATCTTCAGCCCCACCCCAGCTAAGAGTAGTCTGTGTGGCCAGCATAGCAGAGGGGCCTGCAGTGACACCCCCGGGCCACAAGGGGGACATGAGCAAGCAATGGGCCAGGGTCTCCTCCCTGGAAAGAAGAGGATGCTTTCCCTTTCCTGGGGAGCCAGAAGGAAAGCTCTGCTTCAGTCTGGACCTCTGAGTTTACTGCAGGAAGCCAGCAGGCCTGCTACCATTTCTAGAGATAACCGGCAGCACCCTTAGGCTCTCCCCTGCTGAGATCTACTCGGGCCACTGGAGGGTTTGGCTACCCTCTTCCCGTGTGGGAGCTGCCCTTCCTCCCAACACCATTTATGCCTGCTTGGACTGTGCAGAGCCCTGTTGGAAGCTCTCAAGAAGCAATCACAGAACACGTGAAGTCACGCAGAACCTAAGTCCTTGATGTGTGCATGCTCACGTGTGCGCATGAGCAACTCGCAGTTCCCCAGTTCTCACTCAACTTTCAAAGACTAGAGTTTGCAATAGTTAAGCAGGAGATGTCATTTCTCCTGTTTCAGTTAAGAGGCTGTCTTAAGACCCAGTTCACCTGGGCCACTCGCCTCTCCCTTTCCCAAAGCTGCTTCCCAATATAGGCCCTCTTTACACTCTTCTGAACCTCCTTGGTGGGCTGCAACCCCTGGTGAAATCAATCACACATATGTCGCATGCATGCATGCTGTTTCTCCTGGGATGTCTAGAGCTGCCAAGAAACTGTCAAAAAGATCTCCAAAAGGATTAAGAATTCACTAGTGTGGAAGAGGTACAGCAACCCTTCTGCAAGGCTGGGTTGAAGCCTCCCTGATGGGGTGGGTGGGTGGCGGCGGTGGTTAGCGAGTGGCGTTGGTGAGCCCGGTGAGCCCGACTGCTAGGGAGGAACTTGGCTCTGTCCATGCAGAGTCGGCCTCTGTTACTAGCAGAGGCTGGGGTTCCCACTCTCTGCAGTGACTGGGGCTGGTAGGAGGTGCGAGCACTCTATGCTTTACAGGTGGGTGTGAAGTAACACAGTGGGAGGAGGCCCACGTTGTTGCCAGGTATCCTCATCTGTGATGTGTCATCTCCTACACCCTGGCTGTCGCTCGTGCTCGTGGGTCCTTGCAGCTGCTCTTCCACAGCCTTCTCATTCCGACTTGGAGATTGCAAGCTCCTCAAAGTGGTGGGCACTGAGCTATAGTCACAGTCGTGATTAGAGACCTGTGGTCTTCTCGGGGTGCTTGACTTTGAACCCTGCCCCATATCTCCCTTCTAAACATGATGGGTGGAGTCCTTTAGAAGTTAACAGACGGTGACTGTCCCTGCCGTCCCGCCGGAGGAGGCATGCACAGGACTACCACTGGAGCTATCTGTGCGTGGTCTCCTCCAGTCTCTCTCTGTGTCATGCCTAGGACTGAATCATTTTAAAGGTGCCTGTTTTCCAAAAAGGGACCGTGGCATTTGTCTCTGGTTTGTTTATTTCCAGACACGGATTGATTAGACCCCAGGAGAAGGAGAGCTAGCATCAGATAAAAAGAGCCCTGTTCTTATGAGATGAGATTTTTTTAAAGCGAAAATAATCATGGGGACAGAATCAGAGAGGGCGATAGATGGGAATGGAAGGTAACTGGATGCTCTGGCTCCCGATCGAGTAAGTGTATCTGTGAAGATTCTGGTTTGAGAGATGGATGTGGGTGCGAAGCCTGTGCTGAGAAGATGGGTTGAAGTTGCAAGTGCTGGCTATCCACGTGTCAGGAAATACTTCATCACCTCCCAGTTTTGGAACCTTGGAGAAGGCAATGTGTTGGAATGTGTGTGTGTTGGGGGGGGACCCAAGAGAACAAGGGTCGGTGTCTTAGCTCAGCTGCCTGCTGTCTGTCTTTGGGCAAGCTACATCCCTTCCTGCCTGGACCTTCCTATAGGATTGGATGAAAGAGAGGTGGTAGGCTGTTGGTGGACACTGGTCCAGCTCTGGCCCCTCTGTAGACTTCTATGATAGTCAGGGACACCTTAGTAATTGGACTTTCTCCATTCCTGCACCTCTTAGTCCCATGAGGTCAAGTGTAATCGTGTGGTGATGGTTTTGGTGGCAGTGATTGATACTGTTGTGTCCCTAGCTTGTACCCATTAATAACTATCTAAATGTTGATGAATTTAGATATTCCCAGCACTCTTATTGAACTTGGGAGATGGGGATGATTGGCTCTACAGCTTGTGCTCATGAAGGGCAAAGGTGCTGGCTGGAATGCAAAGGGGACAGGCTTGTGAACGGCGTCTTTTCCAGCTCTGAGGAACGTGTGGACCCACAGGGATGCCTTTTAGCTCTGTGGTATGGTAGCATCTCCATATGCGCTGGGATGAATCCGTAGCTGTCCTGGGACATGTGCAGCCGAGGGCTGCAGGTCAGACATGTTTGATAGGGAATGGCAGTCCTGTCCATTGGTGGGTGGTCTGTGGATTCAAGCCCAGGCTTTATTACATACGGTAAGAGTTGGGGATGGGCTCCCTGTTAGCATCACATTCCAGAGAAATAATTTACACTGTTCTGAGTTCGTGATGGTAGGGAGGTCGCTGATCTGAAAAACCTTATGGGTCCCTCCCAACGAAGGGGGCTTTTGTCAAACGGAATGGTCAACCTAGGGTCACAATACTGGTCTCTGGTTTTGGGTGTCCTTCTAGCTCATATGTTACTTTTGGACAAAATATAGGAAGGAACCATTCCTTCTGGTTCCTCTTCCTGAAGTGCTTGTCTGGGCAAAGAGAACCTGGATTGAATTTCTGCTTCATTGTCCAGTTGGCCCTGGACTCTCCTGTGTCACCTCACACAGTCCTGCGAAGAACCCAGCCTGGGCTGACCTCTGACTGTGGTCTGGGACTTGGTCTTGATACAGTAAAACCAAGAGACCAGAATTCAGGGAGCAGTTTTCCCTTCCCCTGCCTCGCTGTTTATTGCTGTGTTCATGGAGCTGCCCTAGTCCTTGGCTCTGGTATGGCGTTTACTTGGCCCACATACTTGAATATTGGTTCAGCTTGTTCAAGATCTGTGGATTGGGCTAGTGTGGTGGTTTGAGTGTAATTGGTCCCCATAAGCTCACAGGGGTGGCACTATTAGGACCGTGGCTTTGTTGGAAGACATGTATAACCGTGGGGGGGAGGGAGCAGACTTTGAGGTATCCTGTGTTCAGAATACCACCCAGTGTTACAGTTAATTCCCTGTTGCCTGTAAGATGTAGGATTCTCAGCTACCTGTCCAGCCCCATGTCTGCCTGCATGCTGCCATGCTCACCATGATGACAATGGACTAAAATGCTGAACTGTAAGCGAGTCACCACAGTGAGGTGTTGTCCTTTTTTATAAGAGTTGCGTGGTCATGGTGTCTCCTCACAGCAATAGAAACCCTACCTCAGACGTCTGGGAAGATCGGTCAGTTGGCAAGGTGCTTGAGGACCTGAGTTTGAACCTCAGAACCCATGTCAAAAAGCAGAGCTTGGTGGTGTGTCCTTATCCCAGTCACGGGGAGGTAGAGACAGTCAGCCTAATGGAAAAAAAAAAAAAAAGGCCATGTTAAGGCACCTGCTGCCAGGCCTGACAGTTTCACTTTGATCTCTGAGATAACATGATGGATTGAGGGAACTGTTCTCCAAAATTGTCCCTTGGCCATCACTGAGGAACTGTGGTGCTATGGGCGTGTGTTGCACCTCTCCCCACAGGCTAAATAAATGTGGAAAGAATTGCCTTTCTTAGAGGAAAGGCAAAAGCAGGATGGATAACGCCAAAAACATGAGGTAGACTTCTGACCTCCATATGCATGCATATTTGTACGTGTGCACCCTCCCCAACATGTATATACATGCACACACACACACACACACACACACACAGAGAGAGAGAGAGAGAGAGAGAGAGAGAGAGAGAGAGAGAGAGAGATAAATGAACAGTTAAGACTGCTGCTAGCTGAGGCTGGATCTTTGCCCCAAGAACACCTATGATTTCCAAGGAGGCTGACAGGGACCTCCAGCCAGGTTTAAGGGCTTAATGGCTCAGCCACTCAAGAGGTTGACTAGAAGTATCAGTAATTTTCCAAGGCTAATTTGAAGGGGGGCGGAGGTGAATGAACCCTTTCCTGCCTGGATAGCAGGCACCTGGAGGATGCTCTTAATGGTCCCAAAGTGCCTTTGGCTTGGCAAGATGTGTCCCTGGCTCTACCCTTGGGGCCTGCCACCCCAAGCCTCCAGGATATTGCTGGCTGTGACAGGTGATGTTGTCATCTTGGCGAGTGATCTTTGCTT